TTTGGCAAATTCCCTATTTTGAACAAGGGGGCATTTTTACACCCCACCTGTCCCCGAGGCACCTACATTCATACTTACTAATGATTATTGTTCTACCAGCAGTAAAAGCACAAATTATAATATTCATTTCAATCTTATTGGGACAGGACAGAGTACATGGATATGTTATGACGAATCAAAAAGCATCGTAGCATATAACATGGCCAAATGTAGCAGGACATACGAATTAAGCTCTCTGAGCAGTGATTGAACACTGCCAGTGCACTACAGCCAATAGTAATATAAATCTTTCTGTGTGAGTAGCAAGCCTTAGTCTAAGGGTGAAGTAAGGTATCTTCTCTAAATAGTAGTCGGTATAAATAAATAGATAATGGGAAGTAAGGGAACTAAATAAGAAAATATTGGAAAGTAAATATTTAAATTTTGGGGTAAATAACTAAATATTGGTTCCTGGATTACACCATAAGTCTGTAAATAATTATATAGTGCAAGATGAAAAAATGCATCCTGAACGGTTTCTAAAATATAGGTGAATAACTAAATATTGGCCGGTAAAATATTGAATATTGGTCGATTAATAATTAAATATTGGTAGGTAATTATCTAAATATAGGTTGGTAATTATCTAAATATTGGTCGGTATTTAACTAACTATTAACAAATAACTCTTACGCAGTTTAAATTAGCAGGAGCTGCCTATGTTCGCTTCAACAGCTTTTGAAAACTTGTCCGCTTCAACGGTCATTGCTAAGTGAACGCACTCTCACGCAGTAACCATTTATAACTGCTATCGAAAATAAAACGTTAATGTATAACCGTTACATGCCGCAGTCGAAAGCCAGGCCAGTCAAGCAGGATGCTTTATTGCGTAAATAGAATCCTTGCGCGCGTATATACCCGAATTAATCAAGTCTTCTCTGCATTGAATATTCATAAATATTCGTTTGATTTTTCATGTGTATTGCACACGGCATTGGTAGTAACAGCAAGTAATCGCAGGTAATTGGGCAGCTACAAGTATAGCATTGGACAATATGTTCAACCGGACCAGTTTGAGAAGTTGTAGCTATTATGTGTTATTGGTAGCAGAATATGAAGGGAAAGGGAAATATATACCTTCATAATACCGTCAATATATACCGTCATTATATACCGAAATATATAACGTCATAGGGGAAATATACTTCAAGTGTAACTGGTATATACCAGAATAGGATTTAACTTGTCATAAGAGAAATGTACTCCAATATCAGTAGTTTCGGCATATTTCCGGCACCATGTTCCAAGAGTCACTTGAGTCACGTTCGAAAATTATCCTAAACTGTATAAGACTCGTGATATCTGACGTACGTACAAATGGCAGTTAATTGCAATTAAATAATCAGCATTCGAAGATGCATCAGTAACCGTGATAATGGTAAGCTCGGTAATTCCTTTAAGGAGGTTCTAAATAATTATAATCGATCGCGGCTCGATCAAACAATTAAGCCAATCGATTGCAGGGCGCTTTAACCATCCTCAATCAAGCCCTCTTTTTTTATAAACAGGAATCAGTGCCCACTTGTTGTTAGTTCGCTAAATATATTTTTTTTAGTTGCTGCGTTGACTTTGGTGCAGAGCAATGGTTTTGCGCATGCAGATTTCGCCTTGCTATTCCCCAACATTGGTTGCACTCATGCGTAAAAAACGACTGAAAAAACAATGGTGGTCCAAGCAGTGGTACGAAAAGACAAACCGTATTTCTCACACGAATATTTGTTAGATTTTCTTTGCGATTTGGAATCAGAGGTCTAAAGGTATAGTCACAAAAGTCGAAACTTTTCTTCAATGTTAATTATATTTGTAACTCTAAACCACCACAGAATTTAGAGTAAAATAGGTATATGTAGGCGCCAGGCAGACGCGTATCAGCTGGACAAAGACAGCATGTGAACAAAAAGTGTACATGCCAATGAACAGAAGCGCTCATCTATTGAAAACCAATTCAAAGCTAATTGCCGTGATGATATGAATGCATGACTGTAACCACAACTGATGCAGAACATGACCAAAGAACTATACCATTAACGGTAACGAAACTACATTAAAAGTGTCAACAGCAGCAGTAACAACCCCAATAGCAGCAGCGTAGAAATATTAGTCATAAGAACGGTGACGGGGGCAAATACAGCTGCAAACAAAAATAATAGCAAAGCCGAAATAACAGCAGCAACAATTAAATGCTGAAAGCAATGGCAACAGCAGCAGCAACAATGAAGACAGCAGCAACAATGAAAACAACAGCAACAATGATAACTACAGCATCAATTAAAACTGCAGCAAAAATGACTGCAACAGCAGCAACAATTTCAGCAGCAACAATGGAACAACAGCAACAATGGAACAGCAGCAACAATGGAACAGCAGCAACAATGGAACAGCAGCAACAATGGCAACAGCAGCAACGATGAAGACAGCAGCAACAATGAAAACAACAGCAACAATGAAAACTGCAGCAAAAATGACTACAACAGCAGCAACAATATCAGCAGCGATAACAATGGCCACAGCAGCCGCGGCGCTGAAGCTTACAAACAAAAGACCTCTTCGAGCCTGCCTGCTGCCGCGGGTGTGGGTGACGGGTGGTGTGGGTGACGGGTGGTGTGGGTGACGGGTGGTGTGGGTGACGGGTGGTGTGGGTGACGGGTGGTGTGGGTGACGGGTGGTGTTGGTGACGGGTGGTGTGGGTGACGGGTGTGGGTGGAGCACTGAAGGCTCCGAGCTGGCGTGGACGTGGTTTTCAAGGTTTTGACACGGTTTTGCGGGTATTCGTTTGAAGATATGTGGAGTCTCTACATATCTTCAAACGAAAACCGTGTCTCAATAATGCGTTTGGTTCATATAATCTGGAAATAGTGAATCGCTAGGCTTTTATATTCTTTTCGTGAACCCTAGGACTAAGTTGTTCCAATCGAATCCTATTTTTTCCATATAATGTTAGATCTTGGTTAGGTTTTATGTGTTCTTAAATTTTGATATAATAATATGATTTTATTCATTTTTAGTTTTTCGAACTGATGATGGAGCTGGACTCCGAAACGTTTTCAATATCGATATGGTGAATTTGCTTGGTGTTTTCTTTGCTTTTAAATTCCTTGTGAGCTTGCGATATAAGCAGACTGATAATATAAGTACTTTTTTAAATAATAAATTAATTTACAGTTTTTAACGATTGGTGTATTAATAATACTTTCCGACATGATATTCCCATTATCGCTGGAAACACCTCGCTCTTTCACCTCACGTAATATCAATGCGAAACCAAGTAACGGAATCATCCGTTACCATCGCAGTTTGCTAGAAAACTGATACCGAGTAAAAAGTTTCCGTGGCAGGGTAACGTAATACTGTCCACTTGAGAGCGTTTAGCTTGTTAATATTAGTTCTTGGCTGTTCCTAACCATTACCAGAGACTATTTACACAATTAATTTGAACGCATTTCAGCATTATTTAAAATATATTAATATATGAAAAGTATATGATACAGAAAAGACGGAGCGAAATTTTACGCGCATTCTTGTAATCAAGAATTATGTTATGAACGAACAAATTGCGAAAAAATAATTCAACGAACTTGAATAAAGTCAGTCGCCGCACTAAAGTACAACACACTCATCTAAGAGCAACATCCACAGCACAACACCCGAACCACAGCACAACACCCGAACCACAGCACTCCACCCGAACCACAGCACAACACCAGAACCACAGCACAACACCCGAACCACAGCACAATTAACACCCGAACCACAGCGCACCACCCGAACCACAGCGCACCACCCGAACCACAGCGCACCACCCGAACCACAGCACAATCAACACCCGAACTACAGCGCACCACCCGAAACGTAAAAAATATAACTCAGCTAGTACTCACTGCAGTGAGTGACAGAGAGCGCATTTTCTCGTCGACGAAAACTTGAGGTCATGGAAAGACGGACGGACAGGCAGACAGACAGACGGACGGACGGACATGGCGAGCACATTAGTGCATTTTTTCCATAAATGAGAAAATGCGCTAAAAATGGACTGATTTATAAAAAATTGAATCACTTATTACTACATCCTGTTAAAAAGTGATCAAATTGTTTACAGTAGCAAATGAATTCGTTGATTGAGATATTGAGGCAGGGAGGCCCAGTAGTTACAGTTCAGAGTCCCAGGATTGGCGCAGAGAGGCGCGGGTTCGATCCCAGCTCTGTGCGCCAGTTTCTGGTCAGAATCGGCGAGGAGGCCGGGCGGTTAAGCACTGCAGAATTGCAGCAGTGAGTTGCGAGTTCGAGGCCGCAAAATGCTGTGAATGTTCTGCGATGTTCAGATTCGGCGACAGGCCTACGGCCTAATAAACGCTGAAGCCGCTATTATTATTATAAAAATGTACAGGACAGTCGCAAATCGTTCTTAATTCTACCCAGGATTGTGAATAACGATTCGTGCGCGGCAGTTGCTTTCTTCGCCTTGCAAGCACCGAATCTCAATTTAGAAGTTACCGAATAGAACGAGATAAGAAAGGAGAGTACAACAGAAATTAAAAGACTCAAAAAAAAAACAAATATAAGAAATTCACGAGAGATAACAACATTAACACAGACTCGAAATGATAAACGAAGATATTCAGGTTTGGACAAGAAAATGTAACAAGCCAAGGTAGGAACGATCAGATTACTAGATATATGTTTTTTTTGTAGTCATATAAAGGAACGTTGATGTATCACATATTTCATTGTAAATGTATAATAAATAAATGTTCAACGAAATGATTTGCCCATGTGATTTTTCATCTAATATGATGACAGTTTTATCAGCTTATAAATAGGTGATATTCTCATGGCATAATGTGCCCAGAAAAGCTTTGGCCTATAGCGGAGGAACATTTATCAGCTTAATTATCAGCTGATAAGTCATAACATATCAACCAGATAAGGGCGTGTCTAATAAGTTCTTTATGCTCATTCTCGAAGGCTTTGCGTAACTACGGCAGTCAATGCAGTTATGTTGAAGTAAGTGCAACAGCAAGGAGCTCATTTTCTTCAAGTGAGTAAAGTTAACGAACAAAATAGAGGCAAAATATTCTCACACAAGATTACTAAAGTGCGGCAGATTTGTCCTGAACACATTCTGAATACTGGACACATTTGTTGAGAATTAACAGATTCAAAGGCCAAGTTTTTAACAAATGTTCAATGAAGGAAGTAGGCCACGATGGTTGGTGTGGGCACGAACGACTCTTTACCACGACGGCAAATAATTTTGATTCGTGTCAATAGAACTTATGTTCGAACGTTTAGACGGTCAGGGTTCATATCGCTGCGTATGAACCATTCAGTTTACAATTGAGTAAAAAGTGGCGTCACGTAATTACGAAAATCAATCATTATAATTAATCAGAAAGCCAGGAGCCCATGTAAATGGAGCCCGAATCCTAAAATTTTTCACAATAAATGGTGAGATATAATATCGTAAGACGTGATCGTCTCCACTTGACCAGAAAAGAAAAGTGAGCAAGTTGTTATCAAGGCATCGATCAAGTTTTTTTCTCATTCAACTTTGCTTCTTGTCGACGAGGCGAATCATTTCTGAGCAAACGCTTAAAAATTAATTAGGCAATACTTGAAAATGTAATATAAGAGCACAAACACGTTGCACCTGTCGCGGCGACTAACCGCGCCTTGGGCTGGCCTACTCTTAGCGCCCAAAACACGATGCTATGCATCCGATTGAAGATCATTGCTGAGCGAGCTCAAGGCGACTGTAATACAATTTTTTTATAATGAAAATTATTTCAAGACAGAGGGATCGCGATTGCAGAGGACGTTTAACAGGACCATGGCTGTCAACAAGGTAGTGCTTTTGGCGCTGCTGCTTTGTGTTGCAACTGTCGCCGGTCAGTACCGTACAATGTACAGTCGATTCTGACAATTCCAGTCGAATCCCTTCATGTTTTGACTTGCACTTAATCCTCCATAAAGATTGCGAATCATGTTTGACTAATTATAATCTGTAATGATACTCCACGTAAGGTTTCACAGAGTCTGAGTCTGAATCAGACAAAAAAAATCAGATACGTACGTTCTTTTCGAGATGCGGTAATTTTAGACATCAATGAATGAAATATAAATCATTTATATGCCTTAATTAGTAATAAAAATTGCAATTCGAAACCCTAGCAAAATCTGTTGTATCGCACATTTCTAGCAAGGCAAAAATTGTCACCAAAAGGAGATGCTTTGACGTTGCGTGTGCTCCCCGGTTCCAAGAGATGAAACATTCAAAACTAATGCTATAGAAATACATTGCAACATGCGAGCACCATAATGAAATGGCAATAACAATGACAGGGCAAGTTGAGAGTGAGGTGTTGCCGTGCTACACGTGCACCTACAACGCGGGCGGGGACGACAGCTGCTATAAAGACCCCGACAACTCCGGCTCGGTGCCAATCACGGACTGTAAACTCGGCACCGGCCAGTGTTGCATCATCTCCAGGTCTGACGCACCTCAGGAGCTTGGTGGGTTCTAACTTTATTTCTAATAATATCCATTGAATTACTAAAGTAGGAACACGAATCGTCGCTGGGATTTTCATTTCCACTCAATTGTGCTCTCGCATGTAGGTACTCCACTCTCGTTGTACCGTGGGTGCATAGAAGACTGCGATCCTAAGAAGATAGGCAAGATGGAGACGACATCCACGTACAGTGTCACCACCTACGAGACTTTCTGCGACGATCCTCGCTGCAACAACGGGCCTGGCAACGTCGAGCCAGGTCTTATACACATTCTGTCTGCGTGTTTTACTTGGCATTCCAAGAAAAATAACCATTTTTCGACATCCAAGTCGCTATTAGTCATCTATCTATATGGTATTTTTGCTCGTGCAATGTGCGCGGAGCAGATTATTGTTGGTGCATTATCGTCGGTGTGTGTGTGACTCGTTGAATATATCCCACAATGATGTTTAAATGGAACAAGTTAAATATAATATACATCCCATTCGTTATTCTCATTTTGAAACAATCGCGCCTATTTATATGAATAAAGATTTACGTTCCTTAAGAATGCAGGATTCTGGTGTTAGGACGAATACGCTAATATCTTCCTAATTTGTCGTCCACGATTGTGGATCTCAGGTTCGGGCGGAGATGGAGGGTTATTCATCGACGGCATTCAGGGAGCCAGCGACTCCCCAGGCCAAAACAGCGGCTCCCCATGCCACCACAGCGGCTCCCCATGCCACAACAGCGGCTCCCCACGCCACCAAGCCGTATGGGGCGTCGTCATCTTTCTTCTCTTCGGCATTTGTCACGCGTACAATTGCCACTGAAAAAAAGGCGCCTTAGAATAATATGTTAGTATTCTGATCTGAGATAGTCCTTATCGCAATGTATCAAGTCTTCAATACCACTAAAGTATCTGCGCTTTATAGTACTATTTTCATACTGTAATCCAAGATACCTACTCTTTAGCGGTTTATACCAAGTCTCAAATTGCTATATAAGAAAATGCCTGTCTAACCTGTCATTCCGAGCGTAACAGGTTCATATTCAAATTTAATATACCTCAGGGCGGTATAAGTCTTCAATTGCCACTTTAGAAGAGGAGCGTCGTACCAGTCATTTTTAACATCACAAGATTTTATTATAGTCATAGTTACTACTTTTGAATAGTCCTAATTGAACTGAATTATAACATAGGTTTGGTCGGGTGGAAGTCATTTCAGACGTTGAGGTTTTTATGATTATTTCGGTTACTATTTCGTGACCTGTAAGAATTCTTCAATAATTGCCCACACTAATGACACCACGTACGATCGATCTACAGTTGACGGGTGGTGTTGATAGCCTCCTCATAGGCGTAGTTTATAGATCACCAAACAGTTCCTCTGATAACGATAAAGCACTTAACAGTCTTTTACCGAACATGACTTTCCGTAGGTCATACACGTTGATCGTTGATGATTTTATTCATCCAGAACTAGACTGGATAGATGGATCCTCTCCAAGGGAAGATAATCACCCTGTTGGAAGATAATCACCCTGTCCATGGAGTCATATAAGAGACTCCTTCCTAGTCCAGCACGTTACCAAACCAACCCATTATAGAAGTAAACAGACTCTCAATATTCTAGACCTGGTGTTTACTAGTGATGAATCGATGTTAGATGAATTTCGTCACGAGGCTCCGTTACTTTTCTAACAAGGCATTTGACAGTGTCCCACATGAGCGGCTGTTGCGTAAATTGAAGTCTTAGGGAATTGAGAGTAATATACTCAAATGAATCAGAGATTTTCTAGTAAGGAGGCGAAAACGTGTCAGTATTAATGGGTCCGTATCAGACTGGGCTTCAGTGCATGCGTGGGTGCAGTTTTCTCGGGCCTATTCTATTCGTTGCGTTTATAAACGATCTGCCAGAAGCTGTGTCTAGCGTTTGCTCGATGTATGCTGACGACACAAAAACTTATAATACAGTGAAGAATACGTCACAAAAAGCACAGTTGCAAGGTGATCTTGACAGGCTGCTTGACTGGGCTGATAAGAGGCAGCTGCGTTTTAGCGCTGACAAATGTTAAGTTATCCACCTTGGCATGAATAATGAACAGCAAGATTACAGTATGAGAAGACATGGTTGCAACGACAGAGCGATGATGTCAAAGGCGACAATGGAAAAAGATTTAGGAGTTAATATTGACAATGAGATGAAATTTTCTAAGCATATTGAAGGTCAAGTTAATAAA